AAACCTAGGGAATTTAGTGTCCATCCCAATAATCCTATGATCTCTTTGTTTTGGTTACATTTTATTTAAAGAAGTAAAGGATTTTGTATCAATTGATGCTCTTTTATTTTACCAATGATATTATTAAAATATATGAGTATAGCTAGTAGAATCTTGTTTACATATTGTTACCAATATGTTTAATATTAGCCAATCAGAAGCCAGATGATATTGTGCTATCGGAAATTCAGAGTTAAGCTGAAATAGATAAATTTTCCAAAAAATTGTGAAAAAATTGTAGATACTCTAAGAGGGCAAAAGATAGTATGTAAGAAGGTAGATAATAAACCTTTTCCCATTTAGAAAACCTTTATCTCCATGACACATTTAGCTTGAAGGACCTATGGGTCTATAGTGCAGTAGTTAGCACTTCATAGATCATATTACAAGATCTGTAGATCAAATCCTCCAAGAGACAAAACCTCTAAAAAGCAGGTATTGATCTGATCCATTGGCATAACCATAAATTAATCAATGTTTCATGTATAGCTATTATCACCTGAAGACTCTGTCATCAGACTGTATTTATAGACCAGTACTATACAAAATTGTGATATGGTTAGACATTCAAAATCAGATAGGATTATTCTTAGTATAACCACATTATTATATCTGGTAACAAGAAAAGTGGACATTAAAACTGATAGTATACTACTGAAGAACAGGTGATAAACAAGTCAGAACTCTAATCAGGAGGTGAAAAAAAGGTTATTCCAGCCAATCGCTTGGGCTTTCATCAAGAATTCAAGCATATGGTTGTGCTGGATTTTACAGACTTAATTATCGGAAGGCCTTGATAAAAGACAAAAGCTGTGGATCACTTTGAAGAACTGAAAACTAGAGTCTAGGATAAAGAAAATTTGATGGCCTGATAACTAGACTACTCTTAATAAAATGATCTGGGAATAATTAAGAAGGAATCACATGTCTTTCTGATAATAGGGTAAAAATCAATAGTAATTATATATATAGTAAAATAGATATAGGTACTTATATAGATAGGTTTACTAAATATATATAAAAGCTTAGTTGTAATATATAATCAGATAATTAACTTGTACAATATAAATGTAATCAACTTGTATTGACATATTATAAATAAAAGATATGACCGATACAAATCATACATTTACAAAAACAAAAACTGTATCAAATATCAAGAAACAGAAACTATTTCCTATATTTTCTTATGTACCACAACATAGGAAACATATATGTGAAAACTAACAAGTATCTTCACACATAATCTGAAAGACTGCAACGTATCTATTAATACTTCTCTTCTTCATCACATAATAAGGAACATGTCTTTTAACAAATCTGATCAAACAATCTCAGATCTCATCAAAGGTATTATCAGGAAAGACATCACACTGGTAATTAATAACTATACTGATTCACACATAACAACATAACAAATACTCCAAAATTGTATAAATCAATATAGAGAATTTTTATACTCAATATGGAAGGAGCACAGTAAATGCACTATATAATGGGAACATCAAGCAATATTACTATAAAAAACAAGTGATCTAAAAGTCATACTCAAGTACAACCAATATCAAATATTATATTATCTGAACTACTAATCAAAGATCAATATATAGACCTTGTCAACTACTATATAGATTGGTCATTTAAAGGAATTACAAATCCATTCACAATTTTTTCTTTTTCTTTTTCTTCTAATTTCAACTCTAATTAACTATTCTTGATATATTAGACCCTGCAGTGGGTGGCAACAAGCCGATCGATAAGAAGAATAAATCTATCTTTAGATAGTTGCATTTGTATTTTATTTTATTTTTTTTTTTATTACCCTAGGTCAGGCTAGGTATGTGTGCTTTATTAAATGTTTGTATACTGTATATTTTAAATGATTTGCTAAAGCTAAGACTTTACCTAACTCACTCATCACCATTTTGACTTAATATATCAAAACTCTAAGTGCAACTTTGAGAGTGATTTATTTATTGCTCCGTTAATGGTTCAGTGAAAACCCTTCCAACCTTTAACATTATTGCCCACAGATCACCACTGCAGAGTTGCATTTGTATTTTAAAAAGACATAAAAATTATAAATGCATAATTATATGTACACAATGAATCTTTCTCACAAATAAAACAAGAATGAAATAGTTTCATAAAAAAAAACATTCAGCTTTAAAAGGTGACATTCTATAAGTTGATCCTTTTACTTTTTAGAGCCTTCTTGTCTTTAGTAAAGGAAGTACGTGCTTGAGTTTATTCAGATTATCAAAGACTCAAGTTTTATTTAAAGGAGTTTGTAAATAAATAGGAGAGGATAATAGTGATTCTTAAAAACAAACTTCAAGTTATTTTAAGGAAAGTAGAAAGACTTTATTAGTTAAAAAAAATAAAAATTTCTTGCAAATGTCTTTTTTATATATGATTAAAGGATCAGTAGAAAGAGGTTTTTCTTCAAGTAGTTTTATCCTTTATATATTTAAATACATATATATAAATTTTTATTAAATTTTATTAAATGGTTATTAAATTATAAGTAAAAATAAAATAAAAAAAGAAAGTAAAAAGTTTTGTTTCAAACTATATATATTTATTTAAAGTTTAAAAAAGATATTCAAAAAATTAAAAATCATAAAAAACTCTTTTCATGATTCACTAATCACATATAAAAAAGATGTTTGCAAAAAGATTTATATTTCTTTGATAATAAATTCTTAATACTTTATTAAAAACAATTTGAAGTATAACTTAAAAAGTCATCTCTATTTTTATCTTTTTATTTACAAACCTTTTACTCAAAAACTTGACTTCTAGTGATCAAGAAAAGTCAAATAATATTTTTGATACTAATAACAAGAAAGTTTTCAATGAAAGAAGAACTGATTATAAAATTCTGAAGGTAAAGTTAGGTTCCTAAAGAGGGAGGCAAAGCAAAAATTAAATATCTCTCATTAAGAAACATTAAAAAAATTTTAAATTAATAACTGTAAAAATTTATTTATAGTTGTTCTCTATTATCTATTCAGGTTCTTTAATAAAAACTTTTATAATATCAAAAGATCAAGTGATGAGTAATATAAATTGCAAACCTTTATATCTTACTTAAGTTTTTTTAGGTAATAACAAAGCTTTAATGGAAAAAAGTTAAGATCTAAATACTTTTTTTGAGATATTTCAATCTGATGCTCACTTAAATGAAAGATTAATTGAATTGACTTGTTTGATATTACAGGTAATAAAAAAGAAGATTTCTTCTAAGATTTAAGTAAAGCAAGAAGACTATTTAAATCAGATGGATCTCTTTTAAGAAGAAGTTGGTTTTATTTTTAGACTTTTTTAATGCATTTTTAATTACTCCTTTTCTTTAATCATTTTTTTCTTTTCCTTTTATCTTAACAATTCATTAATTTTTGGATTAATTAATAATAACTAACTATTGATAATAATTCTGATAAATAAAAACTATTATTAATTTATCAGGAGAGTATAATATTGTTCTTAAAATCTGACTTAAAGTACTTATATATATAGATTAATTGGTTACTTTGTGAAAGTCTGTAAACTATTATAGATTTTATTTTAAATTTTCAATAAAGACAAGCCATTATGATATAATTCCAAGTTAAAAAATAAAAAATAAAATAAAAATAAATAAAAAATAAAAATTTATAAGTGAAATGATGATTTTTAAAGTAATTTAGTATATAAATCACTTACAGTATGTTCCTTTTTAAGGAACAAAATTTATAACTTTTTACTTTAATAGAAATAAATATTATAAATAAAAAGTTTTAACAATAAAGAACCATTCTAGATAGTTTTTTTATGGTTATTAATTTAAAAATATTGATGTTTGCTAGTAAAAGACATTTGATTTTTAGCTTTAGCAAAATATTTTATAAATGTACAAAATACAAATGTTTAATAAAACCTAGCCTAACAAAGGGTTAAAAAAATAATAATTATTATAAAAACTTTTTTTATATGATAGTCTATTAAAACAAATATTTTTTGATTATATTTACAGTAATTACATTATAATTGAGATATCAGTATATAATTAATTTTTTTCTTAAAAAATTAAATTCACGAAAAATTCTAATAAACCCTTTTTTATCTGGCAGCCCATGATATAAGTTTTAAAATGTGTATTTTTTTATTAAATTTGAGCATGTATTAATTGAGATATAAGTATTTTAAATTTAAAATAAAGAAAAAGATCATTTAAATTGTTTTAAATAAAGAAGGTCGCCAGAAAATTCTTAAATAATATTTTTGTCACCTTCAACTCCCCAAGAAGATTGGAGGGAAAATCGTTAGGTAAGCTCAAAAATGTTAAACAAGAATGATAACAAATTCATAGAATAGATGTAGATAAAGTTCGTGCATTCATGTTGAAATCACCTTGTAAGCTTATTTTGGATTTTGATAAAGAAACGAAAAACAATATATACTTTACTGAAATAGTTATCTTTACAATGCTATTCTTGTATCTCTGGCAAGTTCCGGTCTCTACGTGTAATAAATGATAATTAAAACCTAACTCTATAAAAGATGTGATTTCCCCGCAGGTGGGATAGGAAACTGTGCATCCCAAAATACTTCACTTATGAGAATTATGACCTGAAAAGTTGGCAAGTTCGGCGCATTACAAATTGCAACTGCAGGATCGTTGGCAGGATCCCTTTAGCATCCCCAAAGTCCCACCGATGTACTGCCATTCCTTGACGGTAAAGTTCGGCCTGATATTAAAAAAAAACAGACTAACCAGTTACAATGCTTAACTTGGTATCTTTGAATGATAAATAAGACAAACCGTCATTGTTCTATAGAAATATCCAGTTACAGATTCTCAAATACTTGGTTTTGACTTTAAAATCTTGATACTGACGACAGCACGGACGTATTGTTCTTGCATCCATGTCAAGCACTTTTGTCCCAAACGACCAACACTCTGGTCCACGGTTACCTCACATGTTATCCGTGCATGATGGATTTCCCTATACCGTATAAACTTATACGTAACATATAAACGAATACGTCAACATAGATATCACTGGGGGGACAAGGTATAACGGTGGAAACGGAAGGTTTTGGAGCAATTGCTTTACTTGGGTATGCAGCAACATCAAGAGCTATTTGAACTCCACTTCCACTAGGCTCTTAGTGTACTATATGAAAAGATTATAAAAATATTGAAAATACGATGAGTGAAAGACCATGATAGATTCACTTACGATATTGTTCAAAGACTACTATTGGAGAATCGAAAATACTGTAACACCACCGTTAGGAAGTTCGAAAAAATTTTAAAGCAGTGAAACAACGTCTTCATGTACGGGTGAGGTCATATCTATTACGTATACTGTATACGTATACGTACGTTGTCAGTTTTATCATCTTCATTTAACTGTGATTGGAAATTGACCCGTGATTGCTAAGAAAAGCGTTACGTATAATCTTTGATCGTTATTTTCGAGCCAATTTGCAAACGCAAGATGTATTCAATGCAACGTCTGCATTAGCTGATACCTAAGTGATGATTTAATACATTAATACACACGACTACTTTCTGCTAACGACTTTTTTGATAAATTTGGATAATTATGTAAAAATTCGCCCAATCTATCCAAAATCCTTGTCCACAACATAGAGTCTGAAGCACGTGCATGAAATATTTTCAAGAGAAACTTTTAAAAAGAGTAGAAAACTGGTAAGGTAAGGTTAATTTAATCCAATTTCGCAAGGTCTGACCAGAAAAAAGATACACCTATGTGTGTAATCAGTATCGATATCGAAACAGGATATCCTTCTCAACAGTTTTTCGATAACCTGTGTAAAATGAACCTTGGGTGATTACACCATTCGTTAAACTGAATTCTTATGATAGACGAATCTTGAATTTACGTGAATTGAGCTCTATTTCTTCATTGAGATTGAGTTCTATGTAATCTTCATAATACGTCCAATGGCAACCACCAGCATTTCTTCTTCCCACTAAAACATTCTGAAATGCAACATGCTGTGATTTTAAGTGCGACACTTGCAAAGCTAATACGTAGAATCCCGAATCCAAAGAATACTTCCATTCAGCACTTTCTGCACGATTTTTCTGGATCTGTAAAATATCCTAAGTTCGGAATTCTCTATCTGCTACTGTATGGGAATTATTTATTCCAAATTACGTATTTTCCTTTTTTTTTTCATTTCAGCGTTTAACGCTACACATAATTCTAGTTATATGCTATGTCATTGTTAATACAAAAAATTGGGTTGCTAAAATGTTAAATGTTATATGCTAACTTAATTCACCGATTATTTTCGATTGAGACATGCATTAATTTTTTTTAGCCTATAAATCAAAATGCTTCATTTTCTCGAAACGGTTAGCAAGAAATTTCATTTTGTAATGTATTTGAAGAGACATACAGTACATATACTATACATATAGAAAGTACAGTATATAGATTTACATTTATACGTACATGTATTTTTTTAATGTCTGAGTCTGTTAATTTCGTTCGAAAGCAATGTGCGTATAAGTTGAACAAATAGATTATATAATTTATCCAAATTATGTTCCCGATAAAAGTTTTGAATTTTAAGCCTAATTAAAAGTTGAACCTGAAAATTTTACTCACCGAAATTTCGCTACAATTTTTTTTCATATGACTCATGATACTTTATTATTCAGCTTCTCAACATGTTTCTAACTTCACTATTCACCTCATAACTACGTATTGTGTCCTTCGTTTGGGATAGCGTGATTGCCAGGTCACGATAACGAACGAATTACAGTACGTATTTACTTGTTCAATTCTATAAACATGTATACCTTCTTGTTACTCCAACTTTGATGTCGCAAACCTTCAAGTTTGCCAAATCTACGACACACTACTTTTTCAACGTGTACATTCCAAAATTCTGACGCACATTTTCGCCTTATGTTTGAGCGGTGACAGCGAATATTGTAGATTTTATCATGATAGAATTCATTGATAGATTGAATTATATATTTGATTATTGATCTGAGCTGTTTGCCATGATTACGTGAGTATTTACACATGTGCGTGTATCCTGAGGTCAAATTGTTTTCATCAAATCTTAAAGCCGCACAGGTGTATCGACTGTATCTATCATCCAATGCTTGGCGTGTTTTCAAAGACAAGCTTGCAAATTTCGGATCCTCTTTGTATGCATCATAATTATCGAGCACTAATTTTGACGATTCCTTGAATAAATCTTTTCGTTGATATCTTTCGGCGATCGAGAGTGAGACTATGGGATCGACATTAGAGTTATCTTCAAGGAAGGATAATGATTTTTCAATCATATCATTGATCATAAATTTATCCGAGATGCGAAAAATTTCTAACACATTGTCGCTGTTAATAAAGAAACGACTTTCTTTGGGAATCATAGAAAGGAGGCATTCAAAAGATCGAACGGATTCTTGTGGTAGAGGAATTGTCGATGTAGTGTCGCCCTTTTCTGGAATTGCATAGTCGAACATGTCTTTAAAAAAATCCGATGCGGCTGCTAACATTTTCTTGCGAACACTGAATACTTTTCCCTCAACCAAAAAATTCACTTCCTCATCAGGGTAACTGTGATTGGGTTTATCCATAAGATTCTGAGATAAAACACTGATGCTTGGTCAGAAATCAATGTTTTGTGCAAATTCAATTCTACTTCATGAGATTTATATGGGGATGTCTCAATTTAAGATGCGAAAAGTCATGACGAATACTATCGTAAATTTTTTCACATGATGAGGTGCACTTGTCTTGTAAAACTCGAGAGATGAGGCTAATGAGTTTCATACATGAATTTATTTATACTGCCGAAACAATCCATTGATAGTAATTCGTGAACTTACTTATAAACTATTTTTCTAGTTGGGTATTGTATATACGAGAAGAATTCTGATAAATAATATCGTATCTATTAATAGTCTATCTTTCGATGAAATGAATGTATCGTACATATTAGCTAAATAAACGTGCTCAAAGTATGCGCCGCGCGAACAACCAGAGACGGACAACAAAGCTTTCTTGACAATGACGTGCGTGATTTATTAGTATGTCATGGGGTCACGCGAGCCTGAAACTTTGGCATTCGCAAAGTTTGGAGAAGTTATGACTTTCTTGCATATTATATGGACTTGAGTTTAATTTATGGGCCAGTTTTTATTCTTCTTCGACACGTAATGCACTTGATCTTTTGCAATTCTTACCTTTCCTCGGTCGCTTCAAATAGAATGTGATTATTGAAAAAAACATATACAGTATATTGTTTAGCACGCGCGCAATGAATAAAAAATTACAATATGGCATTAGGATTAAATTAACCAATATTATATTGTTTCCTTATAAATACACATATACTGTATACCCATATACGTACGTATATACGTATGTGCATTTATACGTGTACGGTATATTAAATTTATCGATAGAAAAAATTTTAACCGTTCAAATTAAACGATTAAACGCGAGCTTACGTTATTTCATTTGTTTCTCATTGCGTAATCGCACCATGGAAATATACTATATGCAAATTGCAATTTGATTATATCATAACATGAACATTGACCATTACGTATTGTGTTCATTGTAGGATCAAAAATTTTTTTAATTAAAGAAACGAGTTTTTTATACGTAGTCGGTATTAAGGATATTGATAAACCAATTTAATAAAAACTTTTTTTTTAACATCCATTAAAGTATATTAGATATGGTTTGTCAAGTTGTATATTTCATTCGAAAAGTTGTTCCTCTGTATTTCGGGTGTAATTTTTTACAAGTATACGTTGGCAATTTTTTTTTATTTTATTATTATTATTATTTTTTTTTTTTTTTTTTCACATTTAGCTTTAATCGTTAATATACAGTAGAGCATATATTTTATTATACATCATATCAAGTAATGGGTAAGCTTTTTAAATTCAAAGTCAATGGTTTTTTATAATTATAAAACTTTTAAGTATAAAATTGTTTTTGGATAAGTGGAATGAGATGCGACGCTAAATCGATGAGTTGTCATTCTATTGTTAAAATAAATAGATTTGTCGAATAAATAAATTAATGATAGAGACCTTAATCGGTTGGGGGGTTATGATAAGCTTGTTGTTGATAGGAGGACGTTCGATAGGGAGGCCGTGGTATATACGCATTATTTTGAGGGCTATAATTCGCATTGTTTTGAGGGCTATAATTCACATTATTTTGAGGGCTATAATACGCAAGTTCATCATCTTGGAAATTTGAACCTGCAACAGGATCGTGCATGCTTGAACCCACGACAGGGTCGTGTAGGCTTGGGTTCGCGATATGTATTTGCCTACGCGAATATACATAGGTTTCCTGATCAACATGAAAATTCCCTCTAGGAATAGGTGCCTTGGTTAACATCGGTGGTAAGGGTCTATTACGTCGAGGGCTAACTGTAGTATTATCAGATGATTGGTGATACTGTGGTGGATCTTGATCCCGGGGAAGATTTCCGCTATGAGTTTCCGGGATTCTGTCCAAATTTTGATGTCGAATAGGGTGGACGCTTCCTTCCTCCGGATAATCGTTCGGCAATCTTATTCGTTGCATGGGGAGGTCCGCATTACCATCTCCTGGTCGGGGTTGCTGCTGATATGGCTGAATGGGTTGATCTTGAGTCGTCTTTTTCCGTCGATGGCATTTGAAATACCATACTTGGACAATGATCAATATAAAAGCTACTCCTCCAACTGTTATTTCAAAAATTTCCGAAACAAGGTGAATTATGTCAAACACCACTACAATGTTATGTTATCACGAGGAATATTGAAAAAAAAAAAAAAAGTCAGTCAATCCTTATTCGACGCATAATAGCAAAATAAATAAATAATGAAAAATAGGTGATACAACCAGGTGGAGAAAAATTAGAAACAACGTTGTAATTATTATCAGTATCGATGACATAGACATTAGAACTAGGAGTATTTGACCCTGCTGTGATGCCTAATTAAAAAAAGAAAAAATCGAAAATCGAATACCGCTTCGGTAAACGCATTTGTGTACTGTATCAATGCTTTTTTCCAAAACTCTTAATTGATGCCTACCAAATATCAAAATCATGTGGTGTCCGCTGATTACGGCCGTATGATAAAGTAATGACGGCAGCGAGCTATCGACGTATGGCTCAAACCATACAAGGCTAGACACGTTTAAAACAGCAAGAATTGGAAGAGCGCCCGTATTATTAGAGGAAGTACCGCCATATATTATTATCCTTTCGTTGTCGATTGCTGTTTTGCGATTAATCGTTAATCGTTAATAAAACCAATCATGATAACAAAGTCATGAATCAGGAATTTTCTTACTAGCCACAGCAGTATGCGCATATCTATTTGCAACGTTTATCCCAGAAGCATTCTGCATTAAATTGAAGGAATTATTTCTAATGTTTTTGTCAAGTTTTTTTCTAACCATTTTCTGTGGAAAACTTGCCTGAGAATTCCAACTTGCATTTGTGGTATTATAAATCCAAATCTAAAATTTTAAGTAAATATGAAATTAACTTGATTAATCTTGCCTGTAAAAAAGGAAGCACACACATACCTCATTGATGTTCGCTACACCCGATTTTTCAAGTCCGCCGATATAATATATGGTTCCGTCTGAGAGGATTGTGGCAGAATAGTAAATTCTACCTGGCGGTGAACCCAGACTGGATGAGTTCACCGTCCATAAAGATTTCATGCCGTTGGAATTTACGGTATTAAACATGACCATTTCTTGGTAATATGTGGTTGTGTTGCTTCCCACTAACGAATCTGACATCCCTCCATAAATGAATATTTTTTCATCTTTGGTAACTTCAGCGGACATGGCATATCTTCTTGAAGGCTGATCATTATAAAAAAGAGGAGTGCCCCATGTCTGTGAATTAGTGTCAAAAGTGTAAACCAATTCATTAAAACTTGGGTTTGAAGTTGTTGGATCTCTCATAATTCCACCAAACAGATAGATTGTTAAATTATCGGAGCCTCCGACAGCTGCCGCCGCGCTGCAACTTTGAACCGGAATGGAAGGAAGATTCTTCCATGGTACATTTGATGTCGTAAAGGATTTGGACAAGTCAAGATAAAACAATTCGGACGATATGCTTTGGTCACTGAGTTTACCACCTAGCACATATAACTTTGAATCTACGAGAACACTACTATGTTGAGAACGTGGTTCAGGTGCAAAGGGCTCTGCGCCGTATATATTCAAACTCAATATTGATATAATGAAGAGTGACAATAAGGATGATTTACGCGTAGAGTTCATGACGTTCGACATCAGAAGATGATTAACCTTGACTTAATTCACACATGAATTTTTGAAATTAGAAAAGTACGAAAATTCTTTTACTATGTGATTTATGACACATGCAGGAATAATACATTAGCGGCATTTACAGTATTTAAATTCATTTATAACAATTATAAATGCATCATGTGAACACGGAATTCAGATTCTTTTGATGCACCAATGCTTCAAATCGATTGGCTCCCACGAGAATCAAGGAAAGTTCCACGTACACATGCAGCTTTGTTTTCAAGCGCACATAATAAACCAAATGCCTACTTAAGTTAGCTAATCATCAAATGACAATGATTTCGTATTAAAACCTAGCACAGAATTATTTTTTCGGTGTCACAGAATTGGTGTTTTATTCGATCAATTGTGTTCACTAGCATTGTAAATATGGCATCGATGCGTATATTAAATATCACCGCAGTACAGTATTATGATCAAAAAAAAAAAAAAAACTTTTTTTTTTAACATATTGATCATAGTTACGTATTTTACGTATTACGGCACGCATCGTGGCACCTGGCGAAGTATGATTATTAAATTTCTAGAAAACTTTCTTTCGAAAAAAAATTTTTTGGCATTAAACTAACCTTTTACAAGAAAATTGCGTAATAAGCAAATAAAAATCGATGGATTAGTTGGTAATCAGAAAAACAAACTTATATAACCTTGCAAAAAAATGCTTTATTAAGAAAACCCGACGGGAGTTTTTTTTTTTTCAAAAAAGATCGATCGGGCCACTTTTGATAAAAAATTGTCGAAAATGGGTTTTACCCGTTTTTGAGAAAATGAGGTATTTGATTATAGGCTAAAAAAACTTAATGTATGACTCAATCGAAAATTAGCCTTGCATATTGAACTGTTAAAATTTGATCTGTCATCATAATTATAATAACTATTTTGAATTTGATAATTAATTAAGGTCAGAAATCTCGAATAAAATGTTTGTTTGATAAGGACGAGCATGTAAATACCATTTTAAAATTATTTACACGATTCAAACGCAACAAGGAAAAGGAAAAAATTTTTTCGATCATTGTAATAAAATTTTTAATCATTGGATTATACAAAATATACAGTACATACTGCATATACTTTATATACTGTACAGTAAATACAGTATGTGTTTTTTTTCTAAAAAAATTTATTCGATTCTTTCCAACCAAATGAAAAGTTCGAAATAATAGTTAATTATCTTTTTTTAAGCATCATTTGAATCGAATAATTTTAATATCGCGATAATGCTCCCTTCTTCAAAAGATCCTGTTAAAATTCATGTCATAATTACTTTTCCATAAAAATTTACTTTCAATTTCTCAACGCCGCGATTAAATATAACGATATACTGTATTGTATATATGTGTGTGCCATATATTTATATTTATTTATTTATTTATAAGATTAATTTTATAAAAATTTAAATAAAAACTTTTATGGCATATGATAAACAATGTTTCAATAAATGAAATAAAAAAGTTGAAATAAAAGTTATCGAAATACAGTAAATAATTTCTTAAAAAAAAAAAAAAAATTAAACTTGAAATATAATATAAATGATAATTGAAATTTTTTTTAATAAAAATAACAAAATATATAGTATATTGTAATTATAAATATATCATTCAAATAAAAAAAAGTTTCTTTTTTTTTATTTTGCTAATTCAGAATTTTCTTATAAAATTCTTGAAAAAGGAAATTCAACCTTAAAAAAAAAACAAAAAATTGTATATTTTTACAATATACTGTATAATGTAGAACAATTGATTTATAACTTTATAATAATATAATATAAAGTAAAGTCAAAATTAATTTTTATTAGAAAAATAATCTGGATTGCAATAAATTTTTAAAAATTCATTATCAACACTATAATCTTTTAATTAAATTAATATATGTAAATATCTTTTTAAATGAAAAAAAACTTTTTTTACTGATTTTCTAACAATACACAAAAGAGATGTTCAAAAAAAGTTTTCTATTTCTATGTTAATAAATCTTATAATTTTTCTTAAAACAACTTGAAAGATAATTTCAAGAGTTATTTTTACTTCCTCTTTCTTATTTATATTTATTTTCTTTTTATATTAAAATATGGATTTTAATAATCAAGAAAATAATTTTAATAAAAATATTTTATTTTCTTAAATATTTTTTTTAAAATCTCTTAATTTAAGAATAGTTAAGTTTTTTCAATATCATGAAATTAAAAGATATCTTAATTAAATAAAATTTTTGGAAAAAAAATTATTAAATAGATTAAAAACCTTTTGAAAAAGTTTTAAATTGTTTATTTTTCTCATTTTTTTAATAATTTGGTGTTTTTTAAAATAATTGAAAGTAAAAAACTGTTAGTGACAAATCTAGTATCAAAAATCAAGTATTAAAATTTTAAAGTTATATAATATTATTCTTTAAATCCAATTTAATTAAAAAAAAAATTTTTTTAAATACTAGCATACACCAATTGAAATTATGCTATTTGATAGCTAAATTATTGCCAAATTTGATTAAATTTAATAATAAAAATATTGTCAAATTCTTTTCAATTACTATCACTCAGTATATTATTATTTTGGCAATAAAGTGGCAATCAAAAATTCAGCAATCAAAAATTTGATAATTAAAAATTTATTAATTAAAGTTAACAATAAATTGGCAAAAAAATTCATTAACAAAATTATTTATTAACAATTCAATAA